GGTGGGGGGCTGGGGAAGCAGGCAGGGGATGGGGCATGACAGGGGTCCTCTCATGGTCCCATCCCCGCTCCTCCAGCCCCCCCTGCCCCTACTTACCAGCATGGAGTCTGGCTAAAGCCTCCTGCTGCAGCGAGCAGGGGATTGCCCAAATCGAAGCTCTCCAAATCTTTTCTGAATCGATTCAGAGAGCTTTGAATCAACTCAGACCTTTTTATTGGTCCCGAGATTCAATTTGTATTTAGAGATTCGGCCACTGAATTGGGCTGAATCTCCTCCAGATCAAATCAGCACCTGAAGCTTCGCACAACCCTACAAATGACCCATTTTCTTTTGAAGATACTTTCTTTGGGAGAAACTATAGTGAAGCTTCCCAGAAACTGCAAAATCTCAATCTGATTGGATTCAGAAATGACTCTCAAACAAATTCAATTCGGACCTTTTTATTGGTCCCGAGATTCAATTTGTATTTAGAGATTCGGCCACCGAATTGGGCCGAATCTCCTCCAGATCAAATCAGCACCTGAAACTTCGCACGGCACTACAAATGACCCTCTTTCTTTTGAAGATACTTTCTTTGGGAGAAACTATAGTGAAGCTTCCCAGAAACTGCAAAATCTCAATCTGATTGGATTCAGAAATGACTCACAAACAAAGAGGCAAGCATTTTATAGTCACAAGTTCTTTCTTGAAATCAGTTCAAGGAATCATATTATAAAGCATGGAAAAATGACTCAAGACCACAGAGGCCAAGGTGATTCTGTGTAACACAGGGGTGGGCAAAATGCGGCCCGGGGGGCACATAAAAAAATTTAGAAAATGAATATTTATCTGCCCTCGATAGCTTGCCAGAACTCAGTAAGCAGCCCTCTGCCCAAAATAATTGTCCACCCCTGGTGTAATGGTATCAAGGCAGACAAAACTAAAACAGATAACAATGGCAATTGTCAAATGTCCCATCACCAGGAGCATACTGTCAACCAACAAAACTAGTCTAATTATTATGCTATATCATGGCCTAAAACTAGAACTGAAGGATCAAGAAAATTTGAGGACTCAAAATGAACAAGGAAGTAGACCAAGTCAAGCAACTTGCTACTTATAGGCCACTTAACTATCAAACTTGAAGAACAGTGTCACTTATAAGCAAAAATTAATACAACAAATGCAGATTAGAAGGCAGGGAGAAGCAAATACATGATGTACAAGTGATTATTGTACCAAGATTAGAATAACTTTATTAACTTGGGCTGGATTTGAACAAGTGATGAGGACATCATAGACCCTATAGTTCCTGAGCCACCTAGTTCAATTTTTATGTGAACATTTTAAGTGAAATTAAAATGTCAGAGTTGTTGGGTCACACTGATGTGTGACCAGAGGAGGGGGGGAAAGGCAAGGGAGAATGCTTTATTTGGACAAGCAATTATTCAGCTACTATGTTAAAGCTTACAACAAATGGTTGACCCTTTAAAAATAAGAAATCACAAATTGTGTTGCTATAATTAGGCTAGATCTTTCTGGGAAATAGAATTTAAAGGCCTGACTTCAGGACTAATGTTGCATAACTGTTTATGCAAACCCAGGTAACAGCAAATATTTGACACTTAAGAATGTGATTTTTGGTCTAATACACATTTCATACAAATAAACTCCAACTGTGGTTCTGTACTTAAAAGTTGATGGCATAACCCATGTCCTGAATTACTGTTTCACACACTGACATTCAGACACCACCAGAATTCTAAACTGCAGCAATATTTTTTGTAGTACAGTATGTTACAATTACCCAACAAGTTCACATATTTACTTTCCCAAAGAGGAAAGAAGTACCTCTTCACAATGGTGAAAAGACAGCTTTGTAAAAAAGCCATAAGTAATGCCCCAAACTTATACTGTTTAACTGTAGGAAGTACTTTCTATTTTTCTGAAAATACTGTTAACTATTCAGATGCATCATTACAATAAGTAATCCTCCATTTCAATATTTTGTACAGTTTATGTGGTGCAATTATTTTGAAACCCAACAGCCTAAGTTCCACATGTCTTGCTGAGTAAATATACTACAGCTGCTATCTGAAAATTACTTTTTCTTATAAAAAGTCTACATTATGCAAATACTAGTTAAAATATTTTCTCCTAATTACCTGAAAAATAACACAGCACAAGTGTTATTTTATGTACTTGAATTTCAAGAGATGCAGCTGTTCCTTATATTTACCTTTCAAAAGTTGATGTTTCTGTTTTTCCTTCAGATAAACTAGATCTTGATTTTTTCTGTAATAATTAATGATATTTTTTAATTTTACATCCATAACCGATTACACTAAAATGCAGCAGACAGAATTTTACACTGTGATTTCTTCAAATCTGCACGTTATCGAGATCCAGTGGAGATCTTTGTATAGCTGTTTGCAACCAGTCTTTCACATTAAGGAAAATTTTCTTTTTTTTTTCTTATTTCTTTTTGTTAAATTGGCACATTCCTGGAGCCCTCATTCATATGAATAATCCCAATGACATCTTACTTGAGAAAGGTCTGCAGAACTGAGTACTCACAGTTGGTGTACTCACATGTTTGGTGAAAAAAGAATCAGGAGGACTGTTGACAGTCAGGCAGTGATTAGTAGAATAGCAATAAAAGCAAAATTAAAGTTAATGCAATATAAAGTATTACCCAGACCACTGAATAGTGTATGTTGGAAAAGTTATCTGATAAGCAGGACTTGCACATAGATTTGTAAAGCTCTGGTTGCGAGTGCTTAGTACAACACTTCAAGAGAGAACCAGCTGCCATCCATTGTAACTTATGCTGTTACACAATTTTTCATCAGCAGAAGGTATAACAAGCGAGTTATTCTCTCTCAAATAAAATAACCAATTTTAAGATGGTAAAAGAATGGACAAATTACAGTTTGCTGTCTGGAAATAGCAAGTTTAATTAAAACATCTGCTATAAAATAGATCCTACTAAGTTTCATCTAAATCAATGAAAAAGCAGGGCTTAAATGTTCTCCATCTATCAAGGGGTGAACTGATAGCTGATTTCTGCGAGTCATCTCCCTTGACTTTGCTGTGCTGTTCTCAAGGAAGTCTAGCTAGCCAGTCTTAGTTCTTCCCAAGCTCCTGGCTCCTAGTTCCAGCTCCACTTCTGGTCTCAGACCCCCTTGCTACTTATCAATCCACTAAACAGCACAGATTATGCACTATAATTCAAATACCTTTCCATGATGAGGAAAAAAAATGGAAGACAAATTACAGCTGCTACAAGTAGATTCTATTGGGACAAGTGTATGGAACAAAATGGCAAATACCCAGCTGCAGCAAAATAGCAATCATTCCATGGCACAACAGAAAATTCAACAGAATCATAGATGATGCAGAAATGGTACATCACACCTGAGAACTACTGTTTCAGGGCTCCTTCAAAATTAGAAAACTAGCAGTGAATTGGTCTACACTTCATTCATATTTTGAATTAAGTGCATCTTCTGCAACCATAAAGACAAGAAAGTTAATGTTCATTTTAAATGAAACCAAGCTCCAGGAGCCCAAGGGCAAATTACAAAGCAAAAACCTAGGTTCTAGAACATGTGGGGCTCCATCATACCACTGAAAACACATTTCTATACATTAAACAAAATTCAGTCTTTAGTAGAAAAACGGTGGACAACTATAAGAAAAGACAGCTAAAGCAAAGGGCCAATGGAAAAAGGTTTGCAAGGCTTACTTCAAGGAGCTCCTTTTACCTTTATCCCACTAGAACAGCTGTGCTTAGCAGCTGGCACATGGGACTTCAGGTGGGTCTGGAAATCTGGTGGCAGAGCAGTGGTGGCAGAATTGACTGCTGCTCCGGTGCTGCCAAATTTCCAGACCTGTGGGGAGTCCTGTGAGCTGGATAATGTGAACCCTGTGTGCTACATCACACCAGTGTACAGTTGGGTAGGCACATAGAGTTGCTCTGCAGACAGATCCAGGTGTGTGGGGTTGGGCTGACACAGAATTGCAACCCCAGAACATCCCCACACACTGATCCCAAGTCGGATCTGACTAACTCCATACCACCCATCTGGCTTGCAGAGCCAGAAGGCTGAGCACCACTGCATTAAGAAGATGGATTCCCAGCTTTCCCAAAGAATCATACATCTGTCCCCAAAACTATCATTTCCCACTTAGCCTGAGTAGGGAACTAGTGCTGCTTATAAAAGGAGTACCTACATTGTATTTTGAGCAAGAAGTGCACAACACTGTAAAACAGGCCTCACTCATTTGTGCCCACTCCAGGCACGATCAGGGCTGCACCAAGCTGGTTTCATCACAAATTTGTAAGCCTGGGCATACTTGTAGGCTGGTATTATTTCTTTGGCTATATGCCAGTCTTGCTCAAAATGCTGTACAGCCATTCCTACAGAAGGCCTGTGCTTGGCCAGAGTTCCTCCCTTTCCACTCCCTGGCAATATTTTGGTAACAGCAAACTGCCTTTTTCTGAAGAAAAGGACAGATAGAAAGATAAGTTCAAACACAAAACTTGCTCAGAGCTCTGCAAATCAAGCTGCAAGAAAAAAAAATCTGTAAAGTGCAGAGAGCCTGGAATAAAAGTGGGTGAAGTAGATGTGTGTGCTGTGATAACCTTCAGCTCCTCTGTACGCACAGAACAATTGTGTGCATGCCTGGGAAAGGCTGTTTAAACTGGGAAACAAATGACTGCTTTTCCTCACTTCCCTAAAAAAAAAAAAAAAAAATCATAAAAAAGTGAGAGGTTCAAGGGAAAAAAAATAAAATGTCCAATTCCCCTTAAGATTTAAGTAACATATGCAACACAACTAATAATAGCTTCATTAATTAGATACATAAGTACACTGAGTACCTGAACATAAACTGGAAGTTTCTGATGTTACAAATTTACATAACCTAATTGTCTCTCCAATGTCATGTCATTTCGTAGCAGAAAAAGGACAAGACTGGGTTCTTCATATCAAAGATGTGTTCTGGACATAATTATACAGCAGTATATACATATATTTAAATAGAAATATCACAGTCCCTCAAACAATTCTAGATGTTCAAAAATATTTTTATTCAGACATCTTTAGACCGTAAAAAATATTACCTCAGATTTAGCTTCTCTCTCTCTAATGGAGATTTCAGTCTTTAACCTAGTGGATAATGAATTAAGATTCAATGTTTTCAAATACTAACATTAATATTAAAGAGTGGTGAAAAATGGACAAATATACTTAAAATAAGAAAACATCCTGGCAACTTAAAATGAACTTTTATTGTTGAAATGCATTTTAATTTTGCTTAAAGTCTATTTCATATTTTCAAAAAGACATCTCAACATTTAAAAACATTTATTGTATACATATTGTAAAATTACATGTTTGTTTCATGTAATCTGTGCCTCTCTCACTGATGGAAAAAAATTCTAAAACTATTACTTCAAAGAAATCATTCTGGCTATGCTCATTGATTCTATTTGATGATAGATAATACATATATCCTCAGTGTTAGCAACCGTTTATATAATGAGGAAGTCAAGATATTAGCATATTAAAGTACTGAAGATTTAAAAAAAACCCCAAAAAACTTGCAACAATTTAAAAATTAAATCTGCACATGCTTTTTAAAACTATTTCTCCATACACACAATACCAGTGCTACCAAATAGTCTTTAAAACAGAAATTGAATATTTCCATCTTAAATTGTAGAATCTACTGTATCCAACACCCAGAAAAAGCATGTGTGGATATGTGGATGTGCACACATCTTCTTTGGAATGCTGTACAATATTGAAACTGACCTCTAACTATCACTTGGAGGATATTCTTCACCCAAAATACCTTCACAAGCACAATCCATACATTAGATTAGCTATAAATTATTTAAATGTATTGACTTCTAAAACCACATTAATTAAACAGCTTATCACAACATCACTGTGATTGATTTTCTGTGTTTATATAAGAAAATGTTACTGCAGAGATAGCAAGAAGTACATCACCTGTAAAACCCTGTTAAGTCATCAGTTTCGATATAAAATCTAACCTTTCAGAGGCTTTTTTTTGTTTATAAAATTGCTTGTGGTTGTACCTTCTTTGTTGATGCTGCATTAAAGTCAATTTTAATTTGCTGAAGTATGGTGCTATATCTATCAGACCTGACCTGAGTAATAATGTTATTAATCAAGAATTAAATGATTCATGACCTCAGTGGGGTTTAACGGCTGTTTCTAACATGTACATTATACTTAGCATAAGAAACAGATGTATTGATTTAAATTTTATAACAAACAGATATCACTAACATTAGAAATTATATAATTTATCGTAATTGCTGTTTTTTTCTTGACGAGCCCAAGAGAAAACCAGTGTTAAACATCTTTCCAATAATCTTTAATATTCTCAGTGAACACTTTGTAAATAATGCCTGATAATAACGTCTTCGTAACGTTAAAAATGACTTTGCTAGTGCTATACAGAATCATATGTGATCATTTTAGCTATTATATTCTAATTTATTATATAAAATGTAGCATGCACATGTAAGGGAACAAAAGATCACTTTGTTGTAGCACCTCTGTGTTAGCATAACCACAATGTATAACTAATTAACAGCAAGGAAAAAGTAAATCAAATGCCAAGGCTGCATTCAATAAACAGACACCCAAACCATTTTTGGGGTCAGGGATTTAGAACATTCTTAAATATTTAATCATGAGTATCAATACCAATACAAGATAAAGGTACAGCTAACATTGGTTTAGTTTTTTGCACTGAAATCATTAAAAAATTAGTATAATAAGCATGTTTTTCATAATAACTTGTGTAAGAGACAGAGCAGTTAGACAAACAAGTTGAAAAGACCAGTCTAATTTAAACATTAGCAAATTAATTTCACATAGTCAAAAATCTTGGTATCTGAACAAGATTTTACTGCAAACCTTGCAGTGAAATGCAAGGTTTGCCATCAAATTAAATGCAAGAACAAAATGTGGTATCTGTTCTTTATATTTGTCCCCCTATTAAATTACACCCTCATGGACTTCAGTAAACTATGCATTTAAGTACCTTAAAACTTTACACTTCATTTCTTCAGAAAAATTTCTGAAGTTACTTTTTCAAAATAGGCACCATTTCCCCTCACTCCCTGTGTTGTCTAGCAACAGGGTAGACACCCTATGATTGTCAAAATTCAATAGGACCATTGTGAAGCACAACTGACTATGAAATGATGACTGTCTTTGCTAAAGAGAGGTTGCAACTTCAGTCCCATTAAGAAAAATGAGATGACAAAACTATTCTTCAATCTCTATAAAATAAACTTTCAATTCTGAAGTGTGACCAATAACCTTAAGAATATTCTTCAAATATTCTTCAGAAATATACTATATACACAATTTCAGCAAGTTTTAACTATGGGTATTTTGAAGTCTACATTATTCTGCTATGATAATCAGGGGGAAAAAAAGAAGTTTAATTACTGATACTTCTTACAGATCCCATTTTAAAATTAATTTTGAATTCTAATGGATACACGCATGTATATTATTGTTCTTTACTCAAGAAGCAGTGTTAACACTAAGAAGGATGTTATATAATGTTCATATATAACAAAGAGGTTAAATCCCTGCTAGAAGTTCAAACTGAACTCAATCTAATTATGCTGTTACCTTATTATGAATATCATTACACTTACCTCATTGCAAAACCTATTTTTTTAAATATACACATTGTATTTATACACATTCACATATGAGAAATATATGCTATAAATGGATCATAGTTAGACTCATGAATTTGAAAACTTGTGAAAAGTCATTTACTTTGGATAGTACTAGCAACAGGAACCTGACTGACACCGACAGAGCACCGAAAAAACATTTTTACAGTAGTATGGCCACGCTCTGGTACTCTAAAGTATTCATTAACAGAATGAACAACCTTGAGCACACTGGTTTCAGAAACACAATTTCTATAGACTACTCCCCGTTTTATTCAGGGATAAACTAACTGTTGGCTAGATTCCATCAAGTTGGACAGCAGAAGTAGAATTTAAGATGCTCTAGCTAACCTTATGCAGCACATACTATTATTAGCATTACAGTTGATTAAACTATACCTATATAGCTTGCATTCACACTTCATGAAAGCATTTACATAAAAACAAGAATATGTCTTTTAGATGTACATGGAAAGTATGCACATATGTGTGTCTAAATCTAACATAATACGCTTGCTTATAACAGTGACTGTTCCAATCTTTTTCCACATTTCCAGTGTATTACAATCTTAAAATATGACAGACTCACTCCTTATTGGCCCTTCGGGGTAGACTGGGTACCAGGCTAACCCATTAATAAGGTTGGACAGGCAAGGGCAGGGACTGCAGCCCTAGTAACTGGTTTAATTAGCATGGAAGGTCATTATTCTAACCCTTTGGCTGGAACAGCAATTATATAGATTCATAGATGTTAGGGTCAGAAGGGACCTCAATAGATCATCGAGTCCAACCCCCTGCATAGGCAGGAAAGAGTAAGAAGTTCTTCCTAATGTCTAGTCTGCTAGCTTGTGGCCATTATTTCTTGTAACCCCCTGGGGCGCCTTGGTGAGTAAAGCCTCACCAACTCCCTTCTGTGCCCCCATGATGAACTTACAGGCAGCCACAAGGTCGCCTCTCAACCTTCTCTTGCGGAGGCTGAAGAGGTCCAGGTGCCCTAGTCTCTCCTCATAGGGCTTGGTCTGCAAGCCCTTAACCATATGAGTGGCCCTTCTCTGGACCCTCTTCAGGTTATCCACATCCCTCTTGAAGTGCGGTGCCCAAAACTGCACGCAGTATTCCAACTGCGGTCTGACCAGCGCCCGATAGAGGGGAAGTATCACCTCCTTGGTTCTGTTTGTCATGCATCTGCTGATGCACGATAAAGTGCCATTAGCTTTTCTGATGACCATGCAGCAGTCATGTATCACAACTCATAGTTGGTCTAAGTCTCTCCAATGACCACCGTTCTATTCACACACAGTCCAAATGGTCAGGTCTTAAGCAGATGGGATTTATTCACTATCATGGACAAATCAAGAATTCATGTAAACATTTATGATGTCAAGACCCTAAATAATGCAAAAAGGCCCAGTAAAAAATTACGGCGGTACAGCACCTTCTCTGCTATGGTTAAAATGAATAATTATTTCTCATTTAAAGGCTGGTTATCATAAATGTCCTATAAGTCAGGCAGACTGCCTTGAAATTTTCTGTGTCTCGTGAAAGTGCAGGGAGACAATCAGTGATTTGGGATCATTTGATCAATGGGTTGATAGGATACAATATCTCCTGCTCAAAAAATCCTTAGAATTTAATACAGATCCTACCCACATTTCTGTGCATACCTGGGGCTCTACAGCTTCTAATAGCACCCAAAATGTTCTTACACTTCTCACTCAGCATCTCAAATACTGAATGCCATCCGCTGTTACACTGAGGAAGCAACACTGTTTAACTATCTACACAGACGTGTCTAAGTCTCATGTGCCAGTGTGCATGCACTAAATTGCAACTTTTTCCAGTAAGCCCAAAAATGGGAAGGGTGGTACCCTAAATCCATCTGTCCTCAAATCGTGTTCAAAGCTTTGCCACAATCTAATCTAATCCACATCCCAGATTCCCTCATATGACAATCGCAGGTCTTCTAAAATACCACTTATCATTCAATACAGCCAATACCTATTAAAGTAAATGCAGCTCAATCACACAATACAGTATGTTCAGACATCTGCTCTCCCAGGGTTTTTTTTCCTTCTAGAGTGGCCATTTTTACTTTGAAAAAGAATGGCCTGAATATCTGTACACTCATGGTTTCCCCTGGGAGAGAAGCAACTCCCCCAGGAGAAACCAAATGTCTGTACGTGGCTGATGTTAATACCCAGTGGCTACTGTTAGCTTGCAGAGCAGATTTATGTTTGATTTGGCATGTGGTTTTAGGGGAAGGACCTGGCTTTTAGGAGGTCTGCTACTGAAAATGTAGGTAGATAAGATACTCTTGGTTAACGAGGTTCTTCATCAGCGAGTATAATCCGATCTTCTGCCCTTAATCTTTTTGGTACTTTGTCTAGTTGTGTTTTAATGTGTTCCAAGAAACATGAAATCCACCATTTAAGAGATTATTCTGCAATCCAGTAAATAGCCCAACAGGAATATCAAAGATCACAATTTACCTTTCTTAATTTAAACACTGTAATCATGCTTGTATCTTATTGGAAACATAAAGAAAGGAGAGGAAGTTCAGATGGTACATCATCACAATACTTAAATTAATATTAAGGGCAAGAAAAAAATTAATGTATTAGCTCTTTTAATGTTAATCTTTGAAGTCATTTCATTCTCCTCTTGAATACTTTTGATATCTCATTTCCCAAGTTTTCTTGTGTCACCATTGCTACAGCATAAAATACACAGAAACTAATAAAAAAAAATATACCATGGAAAGCAAAGTTAAGCTACTAGCCTGGGACACAGAGGGCAAGGTTTAATTCCAGTGCTTTCTGGGCAAGTCACTTAGGGCACTGACAGGTGTGAGGGGGTGGGGGGGAAAAAGAGCAAAAACAAAACAAAATTTTTATTGCAAGAAACAGAGCGTTAATTGGACCTGGCTCTGCAGCATTTGTATAAATCAGGCACTTCAAATGGGCTTTTTTGGAAATTTTATCTAAAGCTGACACAATCATCCATGAATGACTTGTGCCCCTGGTGGCTGGCAGGGCACGGCAGCGGTGGGATGTGGCAAGCACCGACCAAAGGTCAACGACCACCCGCAGCCACTGCCGGCAAAGGGCAACGCCCCCCCCCCAGCCACTGCCGGCGGGGGGGGTAGCAGCCAGCGGGATTGTGGACCGCCTGCAGACGCTGCTGGCAGTGTCATCAGCAGGGTGGTGAGTGGCAACCGCCTGGAGGTGCCACCAACAGTGTCAGCGGCACCTTTTTGTAGGGGGTGCACCGCCACGCTTAGGGGTGCACATGCACCCCTGTACACCCTCTACGCGTTGCCCCTGCAATCATCTACAGGGAACCCCCGCTTAACACTGTTTCGCTTAGCACTATTTCACTATAATGCTCATTTTAAATTGATACCTGATTTCACTTAGCGCTCAGCTAGTTTCACTACAACATTTGCGGTCGCCATCTTGGGTCATTAAAAACAATTGCGGTCACCATTTTGGGTCGTCAAATACTTTCAGTTTCGCTTAACGCTTGTTTTTTCAGGAACCAATTAAGAGTGCTAAGCGGAGGTTGCCTGTATTAGATAAAAGTGCCATAAATGCCGCTGAAGAGCCCAATCTATATAGATGCTGCGCGAGCTGGGTCCAACTAATGCAATGCCTCTTTTGGGCATGTGCTAGGCTTGCTGCAGGGTTGTGCGGAGTTTGAAGTGCCATTTTTGGTGGGGTTTTTTAATGTCTGTAAGCAGCCTTAGCCTCTCTGAAAACATCCCCATGGCACAGTGCCTTGCTATACAAAGATCAATGCCAAAAAACCCCAAAAAACATCAGATTGGACACCTCGCAGTGGACGAAACCCTAACCTTGACTGCTACATTGACTACTTCGGGGAAAGAATGAGCAATGAAATAATCAGCAACACACGCCACCACAACAACCTCTCTCTACCAGAGAAAAGGGCCATAGAATCTCTAAGATCTAACCACCAAATAGTAATAAAACCAGCAGATAAAGGAGGAGCCATAGTCATCCTAAACCGTGAGGGTTACATAAAGGAAGCCAACAGACAGCTCTCTGACACCACCTACTACAAAGAACTACAAGAAGATCCTACTCCCCTTTTCACCAAAAAACTCAACAATACCATCAAATCATTTCCATCAAGATTACAAGAAAAA